AGAAACTTTCCCAGACTCAAAAATGTTGCATAGGTAAAAATTGTACTATATGGTTAAGTATTATATATTTATCAGACCCAGGGTAATTTACGCGATGATAAAAAAAATAATAATACCTTTGACTTTAAAAAAGATTGAAATCGCTTATCCGTTTAGACAACGGTCTAAATGTGGCCGTTACAAGTATATCTCTAATAAAAATTGTAGCCGTGGAGGAGAAGTTCTGATTGGCATTCGTAAAGATTTTCCTCTATTTTTGGCAATCAGTTAAATGTTGAACGTATTTTTGTTCTTTTTAACATTGATTCATTCAGTTTCATTGCTGGTGGTGTATATATCTCTCCTCACTCTTTTCCATTAATTTACGAATTACACATTTCTTTAGTTTTTAATAAATATTCTAATGACATCATTATTGTTTGCGGTGATTATAATATCCCCGAAGTAACCTGGGATAATGATAATAATGGCATTGTATATTCCTTTAACTCCCCTGCTCGTGCCTCTTGCATTCCCAAATCATTTACTACTATTGGGTTTTTCAAAAAAATAATATCTATAATTCAAGTAATTCTATTCTTGACCTAGTATTATTTGACGCATTACATAAATCTATTTTTGATTTCATACCCCGTCCTTATTTTAAGGATTCTACTTATCCTCCTTGGTATACAAAAAGCTAAAACCCTATATTGTTCCTAAAAAAAAACGCTCGTATAAAGTTAAGTCCTTATTAAGTGTTATTGACTATCGTGAATTTTCTTTACTTCAAGCTAAACTTAAGTATGAGACAAAAAAGAAATTATCGTAACTATATAGAGCGTACGGAAAAATCACTTAAGACTTTAGCCAAATGATTTTTGGAAATTCGTTAGAAAAAAACGCTTTAGTAGCCATATTGTGCCCAAGGAAACTTATTATAACGAATTTACTTCTAGAAATGAGCTGTAAACTGCCAATCTCTTTTCTAACTACTTTTCTTCTGTGTACTCTACTAAGCATATGGACCTTGTTGTTAAAGAATTAGGTAATTCTAGTTTTGACTTGCCTAATAATGCTACCTTTAATGTAGATGATGTATTTCGCAGCTTTTCAACATTGTAGGGCGTCTAGTCGATTGGTCCAGATGGCCCTCTGGTCATTTATTTATTTGAATTGAAATCAGTTATTGCCTATCTACTTTGGCTTCTTTTTAAAAGACCACTTGATGAAGGTCTTTTTCCGGCTGTGTTTAAGTTCAGTTCAGTTACACCGATTCCCAAATCTGGTAACTAATCCGTTGTATCCAATTATCGTGCCATTTCCGTCCAATCGCATATTTCAAAAATTGTCGAATCCCTAGTTTTGAACGCCATTCAACCAACTGTAAATTCTACCATCATCGAGGAACAGCATGGCTTTTGCCCCAGACGATCTACTACCACATGTAATCTTGTGTTTAATAATTATGTTTACGAATCTGTCGAATGTCGGCAACAAGTTGAGTTGTAAGACATTTCATAGTGGAGAGGAAAAAGTACAAGGTGTTGAACAAACGGACTCTTGAACTTAAAACTGAGAAAACGGACAGCGACAACCGATTACTCTTAATTGATGACAAGTGGTGCATTGGAGTCGATTGACGAAAAAGCATTGAAACTTCTTTTCTTTTATATTGATTTAACTTTTGCAATTAATCGTTATTTCTTTTATTTTTACTCGTTTAATTGTTTAGTCATCAGTCTCGAGTTGCTAAAAGCACTGCTCGTATTTATTTTTAAATATATATTACATATTAATGACGTGTTCATCATAGAACAATATCTTCATAGATATTTTCTGAATAATCAAAACTACTAGGTTCATCAAAACTATTAATTTCCAAATTGTTAGAACTACTAGGTTTTTCAAAACTATCAAGTTATTATATGTACTAAATGGTTCTATATAATTATCATAAAGATTTCCGTAAACCTCATTCTCATTAAAAAATGGTCTTACGAAAATAATAATTATAAATTTAAAATCGAGAGAAAAAATCTTGTTGATTTGATATGTAACACGATTTTTGGTTTCTTTTTGGGTTAGAATTTTATTCTTAATTCATTGATCTTACACAAATATAATAAACTTATTTACATATTTAAAACAGCATTAGACCGAATGGTTTCTAATGACTACTAAGTTTTAATTCGAGCCGACAAGAGACCACCTAGAGAACACGAACGTTGATTAAATGCACCTCAGATAGACGAAGTCGTCAGCCTAATTGTAGACAATGAAAATACAAGCCGTGACATAATTGTACAGCGAAGAAGAGAAGGACTACAACGCATTACAGAGACACGCCGTTCATATGTCACCCTCTAATATCCATTAATATTTCTGCACGGGGAGGACGGATATCATTTTAATGTGAAACAAATCCAACCTGAAATGTTTAGTCATTAAAATCCGAGCTCTATGAATTACTATGCATCCCTAACATTACAGGTTTTAAAAAAAGAATTAGAAAAAAATAAAGAAAATGGAAAAAAGGAAAAAAAAAATGATAACAATGGTGGACCTTTGGGACCTTATTAACGCTTATAAGGTATCAAACGACACGGCATTCAATGATCTCCGAAAAAAAAGCTGGGCAAATTCGAGAAATGACATAACGAACAATTTAACTTGACAGCTAAAATAATTTTAAAAATTATCTCTCAAAACATTTCAAAAAACATATTTTTAATCGTACTTTATTAATACTTCAGTTTTTTGCTGACAAAACACAATTTTTGATAGGTGGTCTTAAATGCATAGACATAACAGACACAGGAATGAAAGTATTTTTTAAATAATAATTTTACATCAACAGACCTTTTAGAAAAACTAAAGGTAGAAAATACTCTTGCATGTGATACTATAAGATCAAATAGAAATAATATTCCATCTTTAGCTCCGGATAAAACTTTAAAAAGAGGCATGTATAATTTTAAGACTTCTCGTTTGGATATTTCTGTTTATAAGCAGATGGACAATAGAATTGTACATTTGGCATGTACGGTGTCGAAGAAAGTAGTGTACTGATAATTGAGCGTGATGGAACAAAAACAAATATAAAATGTCCTGCTGTTATAAATAATTATTATATGTACAAGGGTGGAGTCGATAAAGTACGATACCAAATTAAGCGTATTACAATTTCGTAGATCAGTAGCTTAGGGGTTAATAACCTAAGGTAAATTTGGTTTAAAAAGAACACCTGATATAACCCCACGAACTTCTAAAGTTAGAACATATTTACAACCAAAAAGGGGCAAACAGTTGTTTTCTACCCCATCTGATGTGAGGTTAGGAAACTAGGGGGCCCACTGGATAGAATTTGTTAAAACCAGAAGATGTGAAGTGTGTAGTAAGAAACAAATAGAGTCTAAACTATATACCAAATGTTCAACTTATAATATTTATTTGTATCTAAATGAAAGAAACCTTGTTTTAATAAATATCATTCAAAATAAAATATTTTTATTATTATTATAAATTATGTACTATAACCTATAGCTTTTGACTTTATAATAATTTGTATTTAGTTTAAAATAAAAAAAAGTATCATTGTGTAATATTCACTGTATTATAGTTTTGAACATCGTACCCACCTCCAACATTTCCTATCTACAGTATACAAAAGTTGACCATTTAATTTTCATTCTATAATGGTTTTCTTTAAGTTAATGTTGTTGTTAAATTAAAACATGTAGTATACATACATTTATAGATTTAAGATGGTCATTATTTAAAAAATTAATATTATGTTTAATTAAATAACTAATTTTTCAATAAATATAAAGAAGATTATGCTGTTTTTACAGTACCAAATGAAGAAACAAGTGAATTAATTAATGTATTAAGGAAAGCAATATCAGTAAGTTCTAGTGAAGTCTGGGATTACATGGCCACAATTGATAAAATGAGTTTCAAGGATATAACTATACTAGTGCCACCGAGAGAACGCTACTGGGCGGCGACTAAAACTCGTCCGTTTTCGCGCATTCCTCCCACTATACCTGCCTGGACGCTGGCCGCCGCCGCCGTTACGTTTATCGCCATTTTACGTTTAGGTATATATAACTAAGTTTTTTTGTTTTACCATTGTTTTTAGTGTTTACTATTTTAGTACTTAGACTACTAAGTACAACATGGACCTTATCGAGATTTCTCCTTCCAAAAAAAATCCTCGTGGAAAAGTAAGTGTTTGTATGACTAATTTTCTATTGCGAATTATTAATTTTTAAATATATATTATTTTCTTTAGCTTGTTGGTACTGGTCAAATGCAGATCAATCTGTACAAAAACAAAGTCAAGCAACAACTTGAAAACTCAGACAGCCCTAGATTGAACTACAGACAAATGCTTTTAGAAATTTCCAAGTCAAGTGGCATTGGACAACGTACAATACAAACAACATTGGCCGAATATAAAAAAGACCGTACAGTTTCATCGCCTAACAAGAAAAAATCAGACCTACAATAATTGATGTAGTGAACGATTTTGATAAAAATGCCATTAGGCGAAAAATACATGGCTTTTGGTTGAACCGTGAAGTACCTACAGTTGCGAAGATGTTAATAGCCATTAATGATGATGAAACTTTACCTAATCTTAAACGTTCGTCATTTCAAAAAGTTTTGAAGGATCTGCAATTTGTTTATGTCAAAAAAGCTCGTTGTAGTGCACTTATCGAAAGAGAAGACATACAACGTTGGCGCCGAGGATATTTGGATCAAATAAGGCAATACAGAGCACAAAAAAGACCAATATATTGCTTGGATGAGACGTGGATCAACGAATAAAAAAGCATGGGTCGACAGTACGGTCAATTCACCACGTGAGGCATTCCTGAGAGGCCTCACCACAGCACAAAAGGAACCCTTAGAAAAAGGTAAGCGACTCATTGTGTTGCACATACGATCGACTGACGGCTTTTTACCTGGGGGCCTTTTGGGCTTCGAATCCAAAACCAACTTATCAGATAACCATGAATGGTAATACTTTCTTTGAATGGTTTGTAAAAATTCTGCCGCTACTTAAAGAAAATGCCGTAATTGTTATGGATAATACGTCTTATCATTCCGTTAAGAAAGATCGAATTCCAGTAATGTCTTGGAAAAAACAAGATATTATAAATTGGCTGGAAAGTAAAGATGAGATCGTTACCCAGCCAACAATAAAAGCGCTATTATTAGAAAAAGTCCAAACATTGAAATCGCAATACGACAAATACGTGATAGACGAGTACGCAAAAGACAACAACAAAACTATATTAAGATTACCGCCATACCACTGCGAGCTGAACCCTATCGAGCTCGCGTGGTCGTCTGTCAAAAGCTATGTCCGGACGCATAACAACACCTTCAAATTAAAAGACGTTCTAGTTATTAAAAAGAGGCGTGGAACACGTAACACCGGAAATGTGGACGAATTTTGTTCGGCACGTCGTAAAGGAGGAAGTGAAATTTTGGAAAATTGACAATATAACAGACGAAATTTTAGACCAAGAACCTGAAGATGGAGCACGTCATATCCTAACGATAGGAACAGGCGATACAGACGAAGACTGGGATTGAGACACAAATTAATTTTATTTACATTTTTTTCTGTATTTTAATAATTTTTTTATAGGTATCATTTGGAATTAATAAATAAATGCATACATAAAATATTTACATATGTATATTGTATACCTACCATGAGCGACAGTCACCAGGCATTTGTCACTGGCACCCGACAGTGCTGTTTCGCATCGCCAAGGTTTTATGCTGTTCCGCATCACCGAGGTTTTATGGTGTTCCGCATCACCGAGGTTTTATGCTGTTCCGCATCACCGAGGTTTTGTGTTGTTCCAATCGCCGAGAACTGAACGCTCGTGGTCGCTGGACCGTGTTCTTCTGTCTGTCGACGGGTGTGGTGGAGCTAAAGAAAGCAAATTAGAATCCACCGTGTTTTAACCCTTTCCGTCACCACGTTCTCTATAGAGGACACTTGATTTTCATTAGCTTTATGGACAAATTCTATGATATAACTGTTGTCAGTTTATAGTGTACTCTCAAGAGGACAGGTATATATTTCATATTTGACCGATTGTGCCATCTAGTATTAGGATTTTCGACTAAATTTTAAATACTAATCTTCGTTTTATTGTTTATCTTAATCTACGTCCCTTCCGAGAATTGTTGATTATTTTTCTAAACAATATAGGTATTTGTGAAATCAACCAACGTACTAGATAAGAAAAATGTTCATTCGATCACACGTTATACTTCGGTTTACTCGTGTACTCTTGTGTAAATGTATATATTGTTTAAATAATTAAAAATATGATTCGTCCAGATCGAAATAAATTATTAGATAATGACATCTTAGATATATTAAATAATGGAGATGACTCCGAAATTGAGGAATTGGCCAACGATGATGATGTGGGTGATATTTTCTGTCATGAATTCGATGATATAGGATACTTACCTGTATTCCTGGATAAGAAAGAAGCTGAAAGATGCAAAAATTTGGGTTGTAAATCTAAAACGTATGTAAGCTGTAAAAAATTCAACGTCAAATTATGTATAGCACGTAATAAAAATTGTTTTGAGTCATTTCATTCTAAATAAAAAAACTTTTTAAATATATATTTAACTTGTATCCATGTAATGTATTATAATTTTAATTCCATATAATTTGTATAAATAATTAAAACGTTTTCTTATTAAAACATACCTAATTCATAATAAGTATACAACTGATGTAGTATTTTTTTTATAATTAGTCTTAGATACCTTTAAGTCATGCTGTCCTTTTGAGAGGACACATTTTATCTCAGGATCAGGCTGTCCAATCGATTTGGGACCAACATTCATTTTTTTTTAAATGTTAGTTTAATTTAAGTTGAAAAAAAAATTGTTTTTCCTAACAATAGAAATGCACGACCGAAAGGGTTAAACGGTTATCGTTTAATTAGATTAATTTATTTCTGTTTTTTTTTTTATAACTAAGTGAACCAGTTGTCTTAGGTTAATAGCAATTTGTTTAATTTTTTTATTCACCCTTAATGCTTAAACCAATAAAAATTGATTTAAATTGTGCCATGTATGATTTGCTGTTTTAAATTTCAAAATAATGAGTTTATTAAATATTTATGCTAATTTAAACCCCCATTTCGGAAAATAATACAAAATAGACAAATATCCAAAAATAATAATATCCTGTAAATATAGTCAATACAATATTACAAAAATATGAGCCCACAAGCAATACATCTGCTACTAAAACTATAATTCAAGTGAACAAAATTGTAAACATGAAAACAGACGTACAATTTAAAGCAGCGGTGATGAATAAACCCCTAACGGTAAGACGCGTACGGAGCAAAAGAGGCGTGTCAATTTAAAATATTTTGAAAAAATACATAGGTAAAATTTTTACCTAATCAAATAATAATAAATTTATTTAAAGTATGAAAGGAATTGATCTTATACATAGTTAATACTATGTAAAATGTATAGATTATAGAGACTTACCTCAAACAAATTGCAAGTTTTTCTTTTGACCCAATAGGCTTCCTCCAGTTTGTTATCATTTTTGATATCCTGGGCGAGACAAGTTCGTGTATTTCCTCAAATTGTTCTCGAATCATACAGAAATAATTAACAAAACGGTCTTCAAAAGAATACAGTTCGACGCAGAGACGGTGGAACTCACCAAATTTTTCTCTTTTTTGATTGATCTCGTGCGAGATTGATCGACGAAAAGGGTTATGTCTTGATTCGTGGCGAAACACATGCTGTAATGCATTTTGAACATTTCGTCTTGTCATACACATCAAGAAATCTAAAAGAAATATTTTATTTTTTTATTGCAATTAAATTAATAGTTTAAATATATAACCTAAGTCGACGAAATCTCCCAAATAATTTTCGAAAACTTTGTTCAATTACTATCCGACAGGAGTTTAATTTATAATTGAAATGCCTTTGTTGCCGTGTTAAATGTCCATTGTCCCTAATGTCCACAGTCATTAGACAGTGCAATAATGGTTATGCACAATCGCCAATGATATGCATATCTTTAGGGAAAAGATTTAGTGAGTTGTAATAAGTTGGTCACCAATTGGGCTGTTTTTAAAAACATGTGTATCATGTGCAGATCCAGGCCAACCAGCAAATATGTTTATAAATTTATATTCAGAATCACAAACGCTCCGAAATAACAGTTTATAGGTAGTTCAAACATAAAAAAAATTATACTATTCCAATTTTAAAAAGCTTTACTTGTAAAAGTATTTAATTTATCTTAAAAAAAAAGGCTAAGATTAATCATAATACAGTCCAATTAAAAACAGCATTAGAAGTACCACCTAGTGTTCAAAATAACACAAATGTGTGTTCTAGGCGCTGTTTGTGTAAATATTTTAGCTACCTGTTATTTTGGCCACAGTTCTGTGCTCGGCTATTTTTTTACTAATATTATGCAATAAATATAAAAATTAAAATATACCTATTGTGTTGGTTTCAAAATTACTATAGCTCATATAATTACAATTTATAAAAAAAATATCAAATGAATTTACCCATGGAAACATTTAATTGTTTAACTACATCCAAAAAATCAGAGTGTATTTTTATTGTTTATTTAAAAATTTCGACTAATTATTTTAAATGTAACTATTTTTAAAGCGGACAATATACATTAATTATGTCTTTATTTTTGGGTATTTTACCTTGGGCAGTTGGTATTTCAATGTTGGCAGCTTCTTTCATAGTGAGTTATAATACTTGATTACCATTAATAATAGATGGTACATAAATTATCCAATATCACAAAATAGCATACATACTTTCCGATCTACAGAGAAAAATGGACAATAAAATAAGTAACGTTTTAGAACTCAGAATTATCACTACTATTCACACAGCCATTGTTATCCACATATCAGTGCTGCCATTGATTTTAGTATATACATATAGGCGGTGCTATACACATAAAATCGCTCGCTGTTTTTGTGTACATCACGGTTTATTTGTATATTCTAAAATTAATGGTACTGGCGATATTAAAACATTGTATTCTTATAATAGAAGTGCGACTTAGTCACACGAAAACAATTATTAAAATAGCATAAACATTTTTTTCGTGCTGATACACTTTTAGTGCTTTTCATAAAAAATACAAATTTATAAATAAAATGGCAGGACATACCAAGTGATAACTGTTAGATCAATGAAAAGAACTGTTATCAAAATGTACTTTCTTACAATATTTAAGGCCTGTAGGTTTTACTGTATTTAATAAAGTCAATTTTTTTTTTACAGTTTTTGGCTTTAGTCGGAGAAATTACATGTATAATGTATATAACCAGTGACGCGATGCGTAAGTTATTAAATAATCATTAATACACGAATAAAAATTCTAGAATTTTTTTTTTTTTGTACAACTTATTTAGTTCAACTGTTCATTGCGTCGATTTTCAATGTATTAATATTCACTGCGTGGTTGTGTGCAATACTACACCGAACACAAGCGAGTAAAGTGGGTGTCACTTCAAAATATTAACCTAAATTAGTATAAGTCTATTTATCTTACATTGTCTCTCTATCATCTTTTTTTATCAAAAAAAAAGATTCATTCAAAATGTGTATTTATTTTAGACAGGAACACCGTATTTGACGATAGCCATCAGAGTGTGGATCGCGTTCATTATCACATGGGTACTTTTGTCCATATATTCGTTAGCGTCCACCAGTACATTAAATGAGTGAGTAAGTCATGTTATTTAAATCACGACAATAAAAATATATTCTGTTCACACCAGCTAAAGCAGCGCCACAGAGTGAAAACACTCAGTGCTACTTTAAAATATCCTAAATCATACATGTCAATTTCAAAACATATTATTGTATCTTTTTCTATCAAGTTATGTTTTGTTGTGGCAAAAAGTTAATTGTTTATGACCGGTTGCACCAAACTTGTTAATGAATAAATGGTATCAGCAGTAGGAGTTGTTAATCATACCGGGTCTAATCAATGATAAACTGATAACACACATCCATTATCACTATTTTTCAACGCAAAACATTGATAACAAAATTAAAATATACATACATTTTTACACAGCAATAAATGACCCTTTAATTCAACTCGTAATAAAGTACATTTTTAACAACAGATACAACTTATAACATGGTTTATGCAACAGCATTTATTTTAACTCCAGTTAAACGAGTTTATCTCTGTGTAAATATTTGGTGCAATCCGGCATTAAAATATAATTTTAAATGATGTGTTGCTTAAATGTTATTAAAGTATGGAAAATATGCATCATGTAATCTAGGTGAAACAACATTGTAGGATCGTTTCATATTGCCTAAACAACATTTTGTAAATAAATAATTTAAATCACCTCTTAGTATTTGCAATATTGTTTTATTATTCGCCAATATTGTCAAAATTATTTTACTCCAAATTTTGTTAGAAGCT